TAGAAAGCAGCTGGATATTTTTCCATGTGGCTTGCCTCCTGCCCTACCACCCTGATTTGGTCTAGAGTGAATCTGTTCTGCCCAGCGGCACTGTGGATTCCACCAATCAAAAAGTTGTTTTTCTTATTTCTCATAATCAATTAATCTCTCTCTAAAAAATATACCCCAGGAACTTGATATGTCCCAGACCTGAACACCATTTAGAATAGTCTCCTGAAATTCTACCAGGGTAGATGTGGGGAAAGAATATTTCTCCTAATTAGCCAGTAACAAATCAAGGAGGGAGCAATGATTAAACAATAGTTTTCTATTTCTACTTGCATCCCATAATTTCTGCTTCCAGTAAGTCAGACTGGGGCAAGAAATTAACAAACTACAAAATAAGGAGAACATGTTTAAAATGGCCACAATTCAATTCAAGAAGCAGTTCAACTATTAACCACCTACAGTACACAAAGATCTGTGGTAAGTGCTAGGAATTCAAAGACAAAAAATAAATAATCCTTGTACTCAAGGGGTTTATAATCTTCTAGGGCAGAGGTGGGGAACCTGCAGCCTCGAGGCCACATGTGGCCTTCTAGGTCCTCAAGTGTGGCCCTTTGACTGAATCCGAACTTCACAGAACAAATCCTTTTATTAAGGGTTAAGGTCATATGAATATTGATTAATTAATATTAAGTGATTAAGGTCAAACCTGGGGGAATAGAAATGACAAAGACTATAAAGTAACCCCAAATGTCTCCCGCCTTTCAAAAGCACCTTAACACTATTGTATTAAAAGCCTAGAATAGCAACATGAGCCTGTAGGAATATGTGAAGGTCAGTGCCCTTTAGAAGTGATTTTTAAAATTATTGTGGAATGTTCTTATTTGTACAAATAATAGCATTAAAATTAGCATTTAAATAGTGCTTTAAGGTTTACAAAACATTTTTGAAATCGCATTTTATGAAATATTATTTATTTATAATATTTATTTGATATATTTACTTATGAGATGTTGTTGTTCAGTCTCATCCGACTCTTTGTGATCCCGTTTGGGGTTTTCCTGTCAAAGACACTGGAGTGGTTTGCCATTTCCTTCTCCAGTTCATTTCACAGATGAGAAAACTGAGGCAAACAGGGTTAAGTGACTTGCCCAGGGTCACACTAGAAGTGTCTGAGGTAGGGGGCAGCTAGGTGGCACAGTGGGTAGAATACCAACCCTGAAGTCAGAAGAACCTGAGTTCAAAGCCAGACTCAGACACACTATACTTGCTAGCTGTGTGACCCTGGGCAAGTCACTTAACCCTGATTGCCTCGCCAAAAAAAAGTGTCTGAGGCCAAATTTGAACTCAAGAAGTTGAGTCGTGACTCTAAGCCCAGCCACTCTATACACTGTTCCACTAGCTGGCCTATGGGGTAACATTATTTCTTTATTTACAAATAGCACCTAACATCAAACCTTCACTTACGCTTTTTCCACAGTGATACCAGTATTCTTTTGTTCACTTTTATCCTTCTCCCAAATGGTCTCCAAACTCCCCGACAGCCCTCAATTACATTGTAATAGCCACAGATAGTTTTCTCATAACAAGTCTACAAGCATGTGCTAAGCATTTGACACCGTGCTAAATACTGGGAATACAGTCAGAATAAAAAAAAAAAATTAAAGGCAATCCCTGCCCTCAAGGGGCTTAAATTCTAATGGATTGAGACAGGTAAAAGGCAACTTCAAAGGTCTGGGAGGGTTTTAATAGAAAAAAGAAGTCCAGAGAGTTAGAGCCTGGAAAACACAAAATAAGAGGGAGGAGGAGGAAGATTTAAGAAAAGAAGTGTCTCTTTCTGACCCAAAATACCAGTACTCTGAGGAAAAAATCCTCCTTTGGGGGATTAGGGGTGGGAGAGGAAGATAATGAAAGAGAGAGAAAAAGAGATATTCAACTGACTCCGGGAGCAGAAATCATTATTAATCTGAGGTTATGGAAGAGCCAGAAATAATACTAGAAACTCCTAAAAATGACTGAGATTTAAGATTTTTACAGACTAGAGATGTAAGTAGTCTATTCTTTGGCTTGGGATGTGGATGATAGGAAGAATGGAAAGGGTGCTTTATGAGGGCCTGGAAAGACAAGGCAGGGCCTGAGTCATTCATAGGAGCATTGATGTAGATATGAAAGCAACTTTATTTTATTTATTTTTATTTTTATTTTTTGTGAGGCCCCTTTTCTTGCTTGTAAAAAGGATGGGAGGTTGGAGGGGGGAACAAGGTGTTAGATTAGATGAACATCAGTGGGGTGCAGTAGAAAAAGGAAGTCATCCAAATTCAAATTCTAGGTTGACCACTTACCAAATATATAACCTTGGGCAAATTATTTTAACTCTCTAGGCCTCAGTTTCCCCATCCATAATATAAGAAGAATAGGCTAGATCATCTCTAAGCACCTTTTCAATTCTCAATCCTATGAACCAACCCAGTAAACTAAAATTATCTGATTTTTTTCGCGCCCCACAAACTAGAAGTAATTTCACCGCTGGAGGGAGCTCAAGAACTTCCCTCTTCACACAGGCACCCCAATCCCCTTCTCCAAACCTGAAATGTGAGGAGAAGCTGTCTTCGACCTTGCAAGAAACAAAAACAAAAACAAAAAATGCAGAGGTGCCTCAAAGCAGGAAGAGAGGGTTGAGATAAAAGAAAAGGGGCAAGGTAGGGAGATCCAAGAATGGCAAAGCAAACCCTCGTCCAACAAAGCAGGGATGGTCAGAGAAACCGTTCTGCAATTCCAGGATCAGAGCCTGCGGGGAAAGGGGGATGAATGGGGTCAGGGTACCTAAAGAGAGAAAAGAGAGATGAGAAACATTAGAGCTCACTGAGCATGTGGCATCCAAGGAGGATGCCAGGTCTCCCAGGAGTAAATCCAGCCTGGTCTCTCAATTTTTGATTATCCCGGGAACTTGAAAGGAGAACGGACAGAAGGGAAAAGAGGGCAGAGGACCCTTTTAAGCCAATTCGACTCTCATCCCCCAATTTCTAGGCTGATTGTATGTAACCCCAAAGCCCCTTTTGCCCAGGACTGGGTGAAAGTGCCTTCTCCGAAAGTGTTCCTTTCCCCATCTTGGCTACCTGGGGAAGCCCAAGATGGGGGGAGGAGGGGCGGGCGAGGGGTAAAGAGCAATGCAAGCCTGAGAAGAAGAGGTGGACTCGGGGAGTTGGGGTGGGGAGAGACGATCCCCTTCCTAGTCCTTCGTCACACAACCAAACTAATCCATCCTATCAGAAAGGACAACAAAGCAAAACAAAAAGCGCCCAGGCTTCCTGTTGTGCAACTCTGTCCTGAATAAGCCCTTTGCCGGGAGGGCTCCGGGTTCACTCAGCAATCCTTTAATAAAGTCACATTCACGAATGGCTACCCGGACCAGATCAGCAAATAAAGTAGGGGCCTAGTCTCCTCCCCTTTCCCAAATGCCTAACACCTCTGAGGCGCACACACCACCTCGGACCACCCCCCACCCCCAACCGAGACTGGGGCAAGTCGAGCTGGCAATCCCTGTGCCGAAGTGAAGTAAAAAGAAAGGAACTTCGTTGATCTTGGAGCTCCAACTTGGCTTTTGCTTCCAGCTAGGCAACTACACCATCATCCCTACTCCCAATGCCCTGGAGATAATAAAACCGGAAATGAACTTTCCCAAAGTTTCTCCCTCCAGGTACCTAACTTAATCATCTACACGATGACAAATCCTTCAAAACCAAGGAGACGCGTCCCCAAAGTTTCCAGACAGTATTGTTGTTTCTTCATTCCCTAACCGATTTGTCAGCTAAAGTGAGTAATTTGGAAGTGTACATCACACAGTGCTGGGGAGTGGGGGGGGGGAGGGGAGGAGGGGGGAGGGGGGAGAGAGAGAGAACACAGGATCTTGAGTGTGCGTGTTCATATGTGTGCGTGTGTATGTGTGTGGAGTGTGTGTGTGCGTGCGTGCCCAAGAACTCGAACTGCAGACTCATGCTTTCCGGAGAGCAGCTTGGACAGACTTCCTTCAAAAACACACAGGGGTAATTTGTAGAGACTGAAGCAGGACAAAGTCCTTTTAGAGTAAAAATGAGACATTTTCAAAACAGTCCTGACATTTTGCTATGCACGATCAAAACATAAACGTTCAGTGACACATGCAGCGGGGTGTTTGTGTCTGAGTATGTCTGTGTGCTGGTAACACGCAAGGATACTGGATACAGGTGTGTGTATAGATACCTACACAGAGCAGCTCTGTAGATGGGAATATATTCACTGAAATACTTCAGAAGTCCAACTTTTCACGTATATAAACAAACACATGGGTTTAAATAAAGCACCTCTAATGGGTCTATTTGCTACAACAATATGTATACAAAATACTACATATCTGCTACTATGATACACGTATATGGTGTAAATAGACTATTATATAGGAGATCAGACGTAGACAGGTAGACAAGTAGGCAGGTAGGTAGGTAGGTAGGTAGATAAATAGATAGCCAGCCTATGTCTGAAGAATGAACTTATGTCACCCTATCAATACCCACTTCCCCAAACTTTCTCTTTCACACAAACTTTTGGGTTGTCATACACTACGCCTTCCAGTCCCTTAACTTGATCTGATCTCTAAGCAACAGCCCTACTGGTCCTTTAGGTAAAAAATAAGTCCTCCCCTTTACCGAACCTTCTATAAAGCCTCTTCAACTTTCTTTCCAGTTTCGTACAGTCGTCAATCCAGGAGCACTCCTTCCTGCCCTGACCCTCACTCTTTGGGCTCTCTTACCCAACTGACAAGAAAAGTGTATTCCCTTTCCCCTGTCTTAAAAAGAATACATTTTTTTAAAAGCTGCTGTCTCATTGAGAAATAGGGGTGAGGGACACAACACTTGAAAAAGAGCGTCCGCATACGGTTCCCGGGGAAAACTAATAGAGGTCCCTGGAAGCTTTAAGGTTCCCCCTCCCCCCAACTCTCTTTCTTGCCTGCAAGAGAAGTTCCTATGGCATCCACTTACCAGGTAACCAGGATTTCCACAACAAAGCTCAACGTGCATTTTTCCTTTCCCCAGGCTGCCTCTCTCTCGCCTCTCCACCAGCGAGAATGACAGCCCTGCTTGCAAGGGGCTGAGTATAAGACAGTAACTTTGGTTCCCAGCGCTTCAGCACGCTTGAAGGGTTTGGCCTTTGGAAATGCAAACTTCCATCGGAGCTGAGCAATGGGGCAGCAAAACCCAGCCGGGGTACTTGGTGCTGGGGGCTGCGTGGGCTCGTATAAGAGAGATGCCCCCTGGGCATCAGCTCATTTTTCCCCCGCAAAAAAAAAAAATTAAATTAAAAAATATACTAAAGTTGAGTTTCCATTTCACTGCGCCTGGCCTGTTCTGCTCATCCCTGTCCACGGAGGAAAAGTTAGTCAGGGTCTGGTTGGTCTGGCTGTGGGCTGGCGGGTGATACCCAATGATTGCGGGAGTTGGGGGGGGGGAGTTGGTTTGTGGCAAGGGGAAGGGGTGTAAGGCTCCTCAGCTACCGAGGATGGGGAGGAGTTGGGGAGAGGGGGAAGCTTGCAGCAGCGACAGCGGTGCTCTCTACTCTGTGCCGGTCCTATCAAGGCTGCGTGGACTTGGGGATCGCAAGGACTGGGAAGAGGGAGGGAGAAAGTAAAAGAGAGAGTTAGTTGTGAGGGCCAGCAGCCAGCCGCTTCCTGAGTGCGAAAGCCAGAGGGGGGAGGAGGAGGGAGGAGGAAGAGAAGGGGGAGGAAGGGAGGGAGGGAGCGAGAGAGGAATGAAAAGGGGAGGGAGGTTGGGGGGGCAAAGGGGCGGGTAGTGCCTGGTCACCCGGTTGGCTAATTCAAAGGCTGAGCTTGTGTCTCCCTCTCTCCGTTCACACACTCACATGCACGTAGGGAGACGGGGAAACTAGTCAGAAGAGAGACACTACTTGGTTACTGAAGCTAGTTTTTTTTTGTTTTGTTTTCTTGTTTGTTTTACCTTTTTTTTTTAAGAGGTGGAGAAATTTCAGTGGCCTGAAGGGGGGTGAACATGATGTCGAAGCAGTCCTGGATCTGAAATTTGAAGGTCTGGGTTCAATTCCAGCCCTCACTAACGACCCAAATGACCTTGGGCTATAATAACTTGCATTTATTTGGTACTTTAATATTTACAAAGTGCTTTCTTCTCCATTAAACTTAGATGCTCAGGACAGAAGCACTTCAATGCCTCAAAAAGACTGAAAGTTAGGACACCTTGTTCCAGTTCCAGTCCTACCAAGAACTAGTTGGCTGACTTGGGTGCAACTCAGTTCGCCACCTTGGGCCTCAATATCCCTGCGTGGAAAATAAGGGGGTTTCTGGTTGGTGCCAGAAGGTAGAACTAGGACCAATGGGTCGAAGTTGAAGGGAGGCACATAATTGGCTCCATGTGAGGAAAAGCATCCAAACAATTAGAGCTGTCCAAAAAGTCAAATGGACTGCCTCAGGTGGTTCCTCATTGGAGGTCTTTTAGCTGTAGTTAATGAACACTTCTTGGGAAAATTGTAAATGAGTTTATTGTTCAGTTTAGGGCTGGACTTGATTCTGAGGTCCTTTCCAACTTTGTAATTATTTGACTATATTATCTCTAAAATTCCTTCCAGTTTTGATCCAATTATCCTTAGAAAAACTACAACAAACAAAAACACTTTAATAAGGCTTGATTGGCCAAAAGTAAAAAAGAAAAAAGATGGAAACTATCTCAATGACCTGTGATTTTCTAGGAGTGTGAACTCCTTCCACCAAATGGATCACAGGCATGCCTATGGTTTAGTCTTAGAGAATTTGCCTAAGGCTCAAGGAATTTAAAGCCATTAACTTTCCTGTGATCAGGTTGCAGAAAGTTGCAAAAGGGAGACTTGAACCCAGGTCTTAGTGACTTCCAAGTGCAGCCCTCTATCCACTATGTGCAATCTAGAGAAATAAATGTGTTTGCGTGTGTGTGTGTGTGTGTGTGTGTGTGTGTGTGTGTGTGTGTGTGTAGTACTGAATATACCACAATGCCTCATAAGTAATAATTCACACAGTACTCAGCAGTCACGAGCTTACAAAGCACTCTCATAAATGGATAGGGGAAGTACATGTTCCTACAGTCATAGCCTTGGAGAGGGAAGGTGTCTGAGAGGGCATCTAGACTACTTCCTCACCACACAGATAAAGAAACTGAGGGCCAGAGAGATTAAATGATAAAAACCAAAGTCTGAATGCAGGTCTTCTGACTCTTTGTTTCGCACTATGCTCTGTTTTATCTGCTAATAAGAGAGATGAAGTGAAAGCCTTGAAATTTTCAACTACACTGTATGTACATATTGTGTATTCCTGTGTTTTAGTTGCATGTCTATATACTATTCAGCCATTCTCATCACATTCAGGATGTAGTTGGGAGTGGGAGGAAGGGAACCTAACTGGGCCATAGTCCTATCTCTGCTACTAGAGGCAGTTAAGTGGTGAAGTAGATCAAGGGATGACCTGGAATAAGGAAGACTCAAATTCAAATCCAGCTTCAGACACTAACTCTTGGACCCTGGGAAAATCACTTACCCTATGCTTGCTTCAGTTTCCTCATCTGTAAAAAATAAAAATAAAATTTCAAACAATAATGGCAGCGCCTACCTCTCAGCGTTTTTATGAGGATCAACTGAGGTAATATTTCTAAAGTGCTTTGTAAAAATAAGTTGTCCTTAGTGCTCAAAGAGGACCAAAATGACATCACCATTCTGGGGTCAAACTACAGTGCCTCTGACTGTAGCTGATCAGACCAATATAAACTCAGAAGGCTCTACCACAGGTTGGGCACAAATAGTCCATGTGAACATTTGGAGTGGAGTTGTCTCTAAATTTGCACATCTCACATTTCTTTTGAGTTATTGCAATTCTGCTTTGCTCATAGAGCACAGCACCTTCTTTAATATGGGCAAGGCATGCTCTGTGCCAGAGTCTCCCACATCTCACAGCCATTTCCAAAGTTCTTCAGAGAGACCTTGAGAGTGTCCTTGTATCACTTCTTCTGACCTCTGTGTGAACACTTACCTTGTGTGAGTTCTCCATAAAATAGTCTTTTAGGCAAAGGTGTATTTGGTATTCAAACAATGTGGCCAGTCCGTCAGAGTTGCACTCTGCAGCAGAGTTTGAATGCTTACCTGCAGTTCAGCTCGAGAATGGACCTTGGTATCTAGTACATTATCTTGCCAGGTGATCTTCAGAATTTTCCTAAGACAATTCAAATGGAAGCTGTTCAGTTTCCTGGTATAGCACTGGTAGACTGTCCAGGCTTCCCAGGCATGCAACAGTGAGGTCCACACAACCAATCTGCAGATCTTCAGTTTGGTAGGCAGCCTAATACCTCTTCTCTCCCACACTTTCCTTCAGAATCTCCCAAACATTAAGCTAGCTATGGCAATGTGTACATCAGCCTCATCATCAATGTGTACATCCCTGGAAAATATACTGTCAAGGTAAGTGAACATATCCACAGCATTCAATATTTCTCCATTTGCTGTAACCCATGGTTTCATGTATGGATGGTGTGGTGCCAGCTAGCGGAGAACCTTTGTTTTCTTGGTCTTAATTATCAGGCCAAAATTATAGCAACCATTGTTGCTTTTATGCTTTCAAATATTTTAATACACAAATATCTTTTACAAGAGTTTTATACATTCTTAAAGTTTATTAAGAGTGTATGCAGTTGAGGGCAAGAACTGTCACATAGCATATGCTTAGTATATGTGGGTGCTCAAAAGCTTCTGAATACCAGCAAATATTGGGGGGGGGAGTAGGAGGAAGGCACGTTTAAAAACAACAAATGTATCTGGAATTTTAAAATGCATTTCAAAATTTGAGTTTTCCCTGAAATCCCAATTGCTTTAAAGAGTTAATGGGATGCCTAAAGTTCAGTAACCTCAAATAATTATTCTCCAACATTCATCGAACACATAAAAACATGAATCTCCTCCTTTGTCTCATGCAAATGGGGGTTTGGCATGTAGTAGGGATAATTGTTACAATGATAGACATAATTCTTATACTGGAGTGGCAGCCATGGGAAATATTTCAAGTGTATTCAAGTACAACTGTGTGTACCCTTTTTTTCATGTTTCACAAGCTCTTTTGTCATGTGAGGGATTCAGAGCAGTGAAGTCCTATACCAGCATGCATAAGTCAGCTCTTGATAAATCATCCTGTTTTCATGATAAATATTTTTTTGATGCAGTGTTAATTAAAAATGCAAATTTATCCTCGTAACAGAGGAACGCTATGACCTACAAGCTGTCTCCTTTCCAAAACCTGTGACCCATTTTATTGACTCCTGGGAGAACTAATAGAGGGGAGGATAAAACAAAATTACATGCATTTTAACTTGCAATGAATAAAGATTAAGGATCTCAAGTGTTACATGTTCACCTTACCCAGGGAATCCTGGAGGAGCATTGGAAAAAAAAAAGCTTCATGGTATCTTTATTTATTTATGTTTGCCATGACACCCTTTTCCTTTAAAGTCCCTTCCAAGTCTAAATCCTTCTCTGGAGTATCATAGGAGGCAGTGGGGTGCAGTGCAAAGAGTATTAAAGTTGGAGTCACAGGACCCAAGTCCAACTCCTGGATTTCACATTTACTACCTGTGTAACAATGAGTAAGTCATTTAACCTTCCTTGTAAAAGGAAGTGGTTGGACTAGATGCCCATTCGAGCTCCAGATAGGTCATCCTATGAATGTGGGTTTGGATTACATGGAATAGTGAAAAGCAATTATTAGACTTTTTTTGAGAGTACATAACTGCTTACTGTATAAATCAGCCAAAATAAAGTTAATTATCTCAGCGAAGGCTACTGTAAAAAACAAACAAAATGCTGAAGAAAATATATTTTCCAAGGTTTCTGATTCCAACTGAGCTTAAGTTCAGAACCAAGGAAATTATCTCCATTGATGAATTTGTATTTAGAGCACCTGGGTTCAAATCTCAGCTTGTCTTCCTACTATTTGTGCGGCCATAGGTCAGTCATTTCCCTACTCTGGGGTTTGTGTCCTCATAATAAAACACAGGCTGCACTACATGTTAAAAGGTCTCTTCCAGG